ATTTAACTTAATTAATATCAGCAAAAATTATTTATACTACTTTGAGTTAACATTACTTTTAATGCATTTATTATGTTACTAATATTATTTATTACTATTATATTATATTATTATATATAATTGTTTGCTGATTATTATAATTATATTGTATAGCGTAATACTTTATAGCTATGGTATAGTGTATAGTATAGTCTAACAACAACAACAACAACACACGTTTAGACGGCATTTTCCCCGAGATCGGGGGTTGCCGTTTGGCTACCTATGATGAAACCGAAATACCCCTCGACTCCATCCACATCTGTCACTCGCCTCAGTATCACGCAACCCCGCTTTCACCCTGTCCTTCTCCACCTGCTCTCTCCATCCCAATCGCGGACGACCCCTTCCTACCACTCCTTCAACCTCGAACTCCAACGCTCGCCTAATCCCGACCCTTTCATCCCTTCTCAACACATGTCCATACCACCGCAATCTCGATCTCCTTATCAATGTCACAATGTCCTCATTCAGTCCCATCATTGACATCAGCTCTGTACTACTCCTCCTATCCTTCACTTTAACCCCACACATCATCCTCACCATAGCTCTTTCAGCCCTCTGCAGTACACTTTCCTCCTCTCTCCTCAACACCCAAGTTTCACCACCATATATCATCGCTGCTCTCACACATGCTTTATATACCCTCCCTTTCATCTTCACTGACCATTTCTTTCCACACAATACCCCACCCAGTTCCTTAAATTTCATCCATCCCACACGAACTCTAGCCGTAACTGCGCTCAAACATCCTCCATCCGCATTCAGCTTATCCCCTAAGTAAACAAAGCTTTCCACTCTTTCAATACCATCACTCAACCCCGTCCTTGCGTCCGTCCTATTAATCACACCATGAACACATTTCTTACATTTGAACGTGCCTTCCACCTTTTTCAGTGCCCCCCTCACACCACTACATCTCTTATGCACCCATTTCTGACATCCTATACACAATACCGAGTTAGCCTTCACTCTCCTATCACATACCCCACAGGGGTCTATTTTACTTATCACTCGTTCCCCACCTTCCCCACTCACCATTACCTTCGTCTTACCAATATTAACTTTTAACCCTTTCTTTTCAATAACACTTTTCCATCTGTCAAATTTTAACTGCAATTCTTCCATGCTATCAGCCATCAAGACTAAATCATCTGCATACAAAATCTCAAATAACAACCCCTCCATTATGTTTCCACACACAACATCCATCACAATTGCAAACAGAAACGGTGATAACACTGATCCTTGATGCACTCCTACCTTAACACTAAAAGCGTCCGACATCTAGCGTAGTATAGTCTAAATTAAATTAAATTAACCTGTGTTAAGTAACATTTTCATTTAAATAAGATGAGTGGCATTTTGTAATGGAACACACAGGCATTTTGATTTGGTTGAGAATCGGTGTCTGTCAAATCAAATACTAAGCAAATAATTTCTAATTAAAAATGTATTATAGTCTAAAGTCTATAGTCTAGTATAGTCTAAATTAAATTAAATTAACCTGTGTTAAGTAACATTTTCATTTAAATAAGATGAGTGGCATTTTGTAATGGAACACACAGGCATTTTGATTTGGTTGAGAATCGGTGTCTGTCAAATCAAATACTAAGCAAATAATTTCTAATTAAAAATGTATTATTGTTTTTAATATTATTTTGACAAGTTAAGAATTGAGATTCTCTAATAGTTTAATCTCAATGTCTTGTCATGTGTACTTAACTACTTATGTATATTTATGTATGTATGTAGGAATGTAAAATGTATAAAACGAAATGTATAAATGCAGAAAATTATACTAATCCCTTTTCTTTTTTAAATGTTCTAAATATAGTATATAATATATAAAATGCAATACGAAATCGAATTAAAAAAAGAAACGAGACAAGAGCTTTGCGAGCGATAATTTTATATTAGACGTTTTATCAAAGATGCTGACGAAGACAACGACATGCTTGATCCATAGAATAAAAAACAATTTTTGTTATAAATTAATTTTTATGCCATATCCATTATATCCATGGCTGGTACTTCAAAATTTTGAAGATGATCGCACTTGATCTCTAATTTCTCCGATTATACTGGGTTTCACTTCACGTGGCTTCTTACTCAAATTATCGGCGAACTCAGTCAGAAAAACAAACGAAAAGAGAGATAACTAATTTTTAAAGATAAAAAAATTAACATAGAATTTAAAAGACGAAATATTATCTAACTATTTTTTTCTGAATTTGAAAAAAATATTTTCTTTTAAATTTTTAGATCGAACCGTTATTTATTTCGTTACGGTTTTCGGTTTCTGTTAAACTAGCAAACAACATTTCGGTTCGGTTACGGTTTTTGTTCCAAGCAAAATTTCGGTTTTTAAGTTTTCGGTTACGGTTCAGTTCCGGTCGATGCCCTGATGCTAACACACAGGTAACTTAACGTTCAAACATGTGTGTACATATAGTACATATATGTATGTTCAAGCTTAGTTTTGATGTCACTAAAAAATTATATTACAGTTTAATTTATCCGTATTTAACATATGGCGTAATGTTATGGGGTAATAGTTGCACGACCCATCTTAATTCTTTGAGATTGGCCTATAATAGTTTTGTTAGATGACTTTTTTCCTTGAAAAAGTATGACCATTTCTCAAGTTTTTATCAAGAAGCTAATCTATTAACAATTAAACAAATATATAATTTTGGTCTGTTAAAATTTATGTTTAAATTATATAAAAATTTATTGCCTCCTAATTTGTCCATTCATTTTAATGCTCCCGATAAAAAGTTACGTGTTTTAAGACAAATGAATGATTACGTTCAACCTTACCCTAGATTAGTAATTTATAAATTATCGGTTTTCTCCTCCGGGGTTTCACTTTGGAATAGATTGCCTTCAGAGTTCAAATTATTAAATAGTATTTCTGATTTTTCTAATAAAATATTATTATACGTTTCCAAATAATCTTTGTTATTTCTAATTTATTATGCTGATATAATATGATTAAACATTTTTGAGTTTATTGCTGTTGGTTTTTGAATGTATGTCTTGAATGTATGTTGATATTTATTCTTGGACTTAGTTTGAATTCAATTTGTTGTTTGTTCAGGCAAAATCATATGATTGAACATTTTAATTATATTGCTGTTATTTTTTGAATGCATGTCATGAATATATGTTAGTATTTATTTATTGGCCTTAGTTTGAATTATATATTTGTTGTATGATCTTACACATTTTAGATAACACTACAAGGATCAAATTTTAGTTTCATTTCATTATCATTTTGTTTTACGAACGTTTAATTTATGTGCAGTGTGCTATGCTTTTGTGTCAATCAGTTGTGAACGAACAAATTATGTTATCGTATATGCGCTTGATAATTTTTTAAATTGTTTCTGTTTTTCTTTTTGGTGGCCTATAAAGCTTAATAAGCTTGTATGGTCTCCAAGCCATTTTTTTGTGGTTAATAAAATTTTTAAAATAAAAAAAATAAAATAAAATATTACACGTGTATGCATGAATTTTAGAATGAAAGTATACTCTCTTTTTACAGCCATGTCTCACTGTGCATATATTTACTGTGGCTTGTGGCAATTTTTAATCTCGTGCATTAAATAAATAAATGGTTAGTAGTATTAGTAGTAGATAAAAGTCTTAAATAAAATGGGCAAAAGTAAGCAAGTCTGATTACGCATGCAATTATTTTTGTGAGATAAACATGAAAGTGAGAGTATAAACAAAGTGAAAAGTGAAGCTAAATTGATAATGAAAATCAGCACTTTTAAAGTTTTAGATTAAAATATGAAATGCGCCAAGGTTAAGGTTAGGATTAAAATTGGTGAAAGCAAAATACCATATTTAAATATTAAACATTTAAGCATTTATAAATTGTGAACTTTTGTAACGAAACGGAAAATAGACGTTTGTTATATAGTTTGTTACAAAGTTTAATAAACTTCACCCTAAGCCATAATTGTTGCGCAAAAAAATTGTAATTTTATGCCTACATATGTTAAAATAGTTCAACAAAGTATCTTTTCATACCCACCAACGTTAAAGATACATAACAGTAGACTTTCATGTCTACCATGCATAATGCATTTATTCTACATATATGAATGCCTACCATGCACACCACAACCATTACAACAGTACATATGGCTCCTTTCTGTCTCGAAAGACAATGGATGCGCCCAGCATTTTCACTCTTTATGACTCCTCTTCGTTTATTGCATGATCTTCTGTGACTGAACAGACCAATTCTTGGTCAATATTAGATAATAAAAAGATTCTTCTGAAGGATTGACAGGTGGCGGTGTTTTTCTTCTTTTGCACTTTTTTGAGACAGCCTTAGATCTTTCAGGTTCTCCCACCAAAATACCACTTCGAACACTTTGTCTCCATGCTGTTCGATCCTGAGCAATCTCTTCCCACAGGTCTTCATCAATGTTTGAAGCCCTAATGTCTCGCTTGAAGACATCACTGTAGGTTAATTTTTGACACCGATTGTTCTTTTACCCCTGACCAGCTTGGCGTAAATGACATTTTTAGAAATTGTTCCATTTGACATACGTGTAGACGCCTGAGCCAGAATAGTCTTTTCTGCGTATATACTGAACGTATTGGCCTTTTTTTTAAACTTCCTGATTTGACACAATCTTTCCATGAGATGCACGTAATGCGTCGCAGACAGCGCATATGATTACTATTCAATCTATGTTTTTGATACATATAAGTTGACCAACTCTCAACGCCATAAAGCAAAGTACTCTAAACACATGTGCTACAGACAAGTATCTTGGTAGCTGTAGTAAGTTTAATATTTACCCAAAAACGCTTTGAAAGTTTTGTCTTTGATTCCTTAAGCTTTTGCAATTCGTCTTGAAAATTCTGTGTCCAGGTTTAAGTTGGTTTTAATTGTTTACCCAAGATACGTAAATTGATTTACCACATTAAGAGTGTGATCATCTATATTGATTACCGGTAACTCGTTTCTGACATGGTCAAGTTTTTGTTGTTTAACCCAAATCCTCAATTCGTATTTTGCTATTTTTCTGTGAAATACTAGAACAGCAGCATCTGCAAAAGCTCTCTAACAAGAATGTGTTTTTTTGTTTTAGTTTTAAGTTGAGCCAGGTTAAAGAATTTACCATAAAATCTACTGTAGATGTATACCCCATCTTCCATAAAATTGAAAGCTGTAGCAAGGGCAACAGAAAAAAAGATACCAAAGAGTGTTGGCGCCAAAACACATTTTTCTTTTACTCCGCTGTTTATGGGAAACGATTCAGAAACAGATCAATCAAATTGAACAAAGCCCTGCGTTTGCTCATGAAAGGAAGAATGTTATCATTCCTAGCAGTTTAGAAGAGCAATCAAATTTTTCCAATACAGCAAATAAACCACTTCTACTAAGTTAAAAGTTTTAGTATGATCAATGAAAGCAAAAAACTGGCTGCCTTTGCTCTATACACTTTTATTGCGGCTGTCGCAGAGAAAATATCATATTAGCTGTTGATCTTTCCGTTCTAAAATCACACTAAGATTTTGGTTGTTTTCTGTTTGCTGAAATTTGTAATTTTTTAAGAAGCACTTGAGCAAAGGCTTTTCCTACTGAACTTAGTATGGAGATGCTTCTGTAGTTGTTACAGTCTGAACGATTATCTTTGTTTTTGTAGATTGTAAATATATTTGCATTTTTCAAATCCTTGTGAAATAGCACCCCTTTCCCAACATAAGCATAGCAACATGTGAAGTGGTTTCAGTAAGGCATGTTTCCCAGCTTTAATAATTTCTACAGGAATGCCGTCTCCACCAGTTGCCTGGCCATTTGCAAGTGCATCAATGGCCATACTAAGTTCCGCTTCAAAAGGTATCTCCTCCAGTTCAGTCATAGTTGGCAAAGCTTGATCTTTTGACAACGCAGCTGCAGTGATAACACTGATAGAGTTCTACATGGTGATAAATCCATCTTTCCATTTGAGATGCACAATATTTAATTAATGTAACACATTTTGACTTGGGTGGAACACATCTACTAACAATTGGTCCAAAAGTTTTTTTTATACCTTCATACAATCACTATGCATTATCAGAATCAGCACAAGTTTGAATATTTTAACAGAGATCTTGCTAATATCTATTCCCACAATGTTTAGCAAGTTACTGTGTTTTATTTCTTGCATCTCTAAATGCCTGTGGATTGGTTTGTGTGTTTTTGTAAGCTATCAAAGCTTCTTTTTTGTTTTTTGTAGCAATTTTCATTTCTGATAAGTTTGCTTCATACCAGTCCTCATTTTTCTTAGCTTTTTTTCTAGAACCGACAATGAAACCTAATATATGAAATTACGCATAGATTTCCAACTTTTCTCAACATCTGTAAAACTGTGGCTTTAAAGAGCCTCATTTAATTTGCTGCGTTTCAACAGCTGTTTGACGTGTCTCAAAATTACCTCGTTAAATGTTGTTTTTTGTCGCTTTTAAATTGAATTAAAGTCTACTTCTTGGTTAAATTGGGAGTTAAATTGTTGCGTAACAAGTTTTTTGTTTTAAAGTTTTAAAAGTTACGTTTTTCATTAATTTGGTTGAACTTGTTTGTGGAATAGTCAGTTGAACTTAATTTATCCAATATAAATTATGCTAATGAGCAGCAACAGCAATAGCACAGAGCCTATTAAGTACGAAGCAGCTGAGGTCTTTAAAATAAACAAAAACATTTTTACTCCGTCAAGATTAATTAGAAAAATTTAAAATTTAGAAACCTAATTGTGAAAGAAATAAATCGTTGAATTTACTCACTGAGCGTCAGTTTTGTTCAAAACGTGTGAGTATTGGCCAGTTGAATGTTAACAGTATTGCTAATAAGTTTACTGCTGTAAAAGAAATTATTGAAGACAAAAAACTTGATGTTTTAGCTCTTGTGGAAAGTCGACATTACACTTCTGATGATGTTGGACTAATTCGCTCAGTACCAGATGGTTACATCAGTTATGATACTCCACGAAGTCATGAGGAATCAACGATGTCCAACAAATCATCTGGTCCACCGGGTGGTGGCCTAGTCGTTATTGTCCGGGACTCGTTTAGATCAAATGTGATTGACCTTGGGCTTCATCTGTGCAAGTTTGAAAATATATAAAGTAATTTTTAAAACACTTTAACTTCATATATTATAATTTGACTTAGGAAAATGCAATGACAATCCCAATGTACAACAGTTAGAAACCATCTTTAAACAAGTTTAATTCAGATGTTGGATTGTTCTCGGGAAAACAGGTTATTCAAAAAATAAAATTACATACCTTTTAGAAGATATTTTATGTTTATCATTATCTAATTTTTCAGGCAATGTACAGGAACAATTAATAAAAGATTCTGAATTTAAAATACCCGAAGAACAATTTCAACATATTTTTGAGAAAGCTAATTTAGAACTGGAGTTTCTAAATCAAAACACAATGTCAACCATTATCGATAATGTAGTGGCATATATTGCTGGATGGGTGGTTCAAAAAGTAACCCAAATGATAGATTGTAATCAATGCAGGCTAGCACTTGTTGAAACAAAAGATAGAGTCGCCATGTTTTACCAACAGCTACTTATATTAAAGGACGATGGTGGTTTGGTTTTTCCTTCCCGTGGTGTCGTCAAGGTTATATAAATAATTGAATTATAAAAATTTTGGCTTAATGCTTTTTCTATATCATCATCATAAAACAGTATACAAGAAAACATATATTACAACTGAATAACATTAGGAACAATTCATTAATAATCATTAACAACATTGCCAATAACAGACGGCTACCAATAAACTATTCCTAACATTTAATAAACAGATATGTCATGTAACAGAGAGGCATTAAAAAATGGAAACCGAGCAACATAAAATGAATACTGAATCGGTAGTTTTAAATGTTTTTAAAAGGTTGGCCAATGAAGATTTATTAAATTTCAAAAAACATATAACAGATACATTTAATGGATTAAATAATCATAATTTTTGTTTACTTAGACTTATTGCAAAAACATATATAAATGTACGTTCATTTCATTTCGCAAAAACCACAAATCAAATAAAAATCCGTTCTGAATTTCATAAGTTAATACATTTCAAGAGACAATAAAATCATTTATCAATGAAAAGATTTATCAACCATTTGTAAATTTTGAATTGTTTGATTTACTTAGTAAATATATTTGTTTCAAATATATATTAAACATTCTTTTGCTATCTGTTGGTAAAATCTGTATTTTTTATTTGGTCATTATGTTTTCATAAAACCCGTCACTCTAACATCTTCATTATTTTATATTTCATTTATTTTTTATCTATGAAATCATTATTTTCCATATATTTCAACATACTTTAACATACTTCAATCATATTTCATTTCTAATTGAGTTTTCACATTTGATTCATTCAATTGAAACAATAATGCATCAACAATTATTTCAATTCTTCATTGTTTTGGAATCTGTTTTTTCATTCAAAACATTAAACAATTGGCCTTCAATTTTTTATTCCTTTATAATTTTTGAAATTATGCTGATGACAAAAAATTTTTAATATTGTAAATATAAATTAAACCCCATTATTGAAAAATTTTCATTATACCTTTTTATATATTCATCAACAAACAAAATTATTTTCAAGACCTTCTTTACCTAACATGTATGCCTTTACATCCAATCATTTAATGTTATCAAATTTTTGATTTCAGTTTAAACATGCATTTTTTTAAATCTCTTTGTAATATTCAGTATTTTTTCTGCAAGAGTTTATTATTGCATTCTCATCTGCATTTGTAAATATCTGATCATTAATCTACATCATAATTTTACTGCAGCAATATATTAACTAGTTTCAAGTCATCATTATATCAACCATTTTCATTCCAGATTGTAAACTTATCCGTTTTAACTCTTTCTTTACATTATTTCTCAGTTTTAATAATTCATTTTTTTTATCTAATTCATTTTTTCATACAAAATATAACTTTTTTTGAGATAAACTTTAGATAATGCTATATCAATTGGAAGTTTTTATGGAAAAAAGATATCATTTCATTTCATTTACAATTTTTAATAAAATATTTTTAAACATTTGTCTCTTTGTTGTCAGATTAGTTGCCATTGACTTACGTAAATGATTTGCACTTAAATATTAAACTATCCTTAATTTAATCGCTAAAGTAAATTATTGAAAATACATTTAAAAAATTTATTTAAATATTACTTATTTTATCACTGATTAAATGTAGAATTGACCCAGTTTACTAAAAACAGTCCATTTCATATTCATGGCATACAATATATAGGCAGATTAGTAATTAATTTACTCTGGCTTTTATCAATAACTAGAAATTATTAAAATTGAAAGCAGACATTTTCCCATTTTTTATATATACAATGCAAATTCAAGAAACAACGTGAAAGTTTATGAAATTTGGTTCAGCTTCAGATGATTATATATTCAAAAATAGGTACTCAAATGTATGATTGTCAGCTAGTGTTATTACAGTAATTATGAGCAGTCATACATTTGGTATACATTCTCATGAATTTACATATTACGTTTATAACAATAATAAAATAAACCGTAAAGACAAATTAATATGAATGAATGATTGTGATTGATAATCAGAATATCCATTGCAGAGCAGAGTGAGGGATAACAGTGCAACTTGTAAGTTTGGATATTAGTATCAAAAAAGCCCAACGGAACTGAAACACACCAGCAACGTTAGCAATAAAACATTACCAACTTATATTGCTAGTTTTTTAAAGCGAAATTCTTATTTGGTAAAAACTCAACTACGGAAGCTATGACAATAATGGAAAACTAGACAATATTCTAAACATAGATAAAAAGCTAAATGTTTTTTAAAATTAATTTTTTATTGGCGTTTTTGGTTCTATGGATCAAGATTTTTTGCAAAAATTTATTTTAACCGGTGTATATATATATATATATATATATATACACATATACAGATACATCTGAGACTTGCCATATTCATTATATATATCCATGAAGAAAGTGCTGTATATCGGTAAATAAACTTCCCCTTCAGATTAACATTCTAATTTTTATTATTGTTAATTTAAGTTCACTTTTATTTAAAGCTTACCTCTACATAACTAGAATAAAATAAATAAGTAAATAAATACCTCACGAATATAATTCCATGCGTAGTCAGACTTGATTGCTTTTGTCGCTCTATTTTTATTTATAGTTTTATATACGCTTTATTTATCAGGTTAAGACGTTTTCTTTACCAATATTTTTTAATTCAACCTACTAATGGTTAATAATTAATTCTATAGTATAATATAATAAATTCTAGTATAGTATATTATTAATTATAATAATAATATTAATTATTAATAATAGTAATCAGTAATGATCTCTAATCTAACTAAAATAATCCTACATTTTTAAAACTTTTATAATTTATATTTTTCAAAATAATTTTTTTGGGTTTATTTTTGATTTAATTTCAATTTACCAATTAGTGGTTATTCGTTTTTAAATTTTGTTGCACTACCATTGAATTTAAAAATTAAATGAAAATTTTTCAGATTTCAAAGGACATCATAGACTAGACTAGTCATCATAGAATAGAATAGAGAGAAATAAGGTATTAACTTATGCTTCTGACATCACATATTTGGCTTTGCGTATAAAATTTATTATTGTTATACTGTACTATGTTTATGTATGATGGATTTATAGATCTTTGCATTTGATTTGAAGTTTTGAACCCACTCAGTGCCAGATTAAGACCTTTTTAGGCCCTGGTCAAAAAATATTTGGAGACTCCTTTACATTAACATAGGCCTCCAACTGTTTTTATTAACCCAAGCTCAACTGTTAAAAGCAATGCTTTTTTAGTTAATTCATCAGTGCTAAAAAAACCGCTAAAAAAACTTTTTAACAAAAAAACTTGTATAAAAAAATTTTTCGTTCGTTTCATCTGAATACATTTTATTTAAATGATTTTGTAATCTGGAAGGCTTTATCTGACAAAGTAGACAAAGGCAAAGATGGATTTGTAGGATTTTCAATAAATCCGTTTTTAATATAATCTGAAACGCACCGTCATTTCTTCTTTTTTGCTTCTGACTTAGTTATGTTTGAACAAAAACTTGAGTTAATAATTAATAACTTTACAGCGATTATGCATAAAGACAAGGTAACGAAAATTAATCAATAGAAGCAGAATTAAAAGCCAGTAAAACGCAAATGCGCCAATATATTTTAAAATTTATTCAAAAAATAGTGATGTTGCAATTCAGCAGATATACAGCGATTATGCATAAAGACAAGGTAACGAAAATTAATCAATAGAAGCAGAATTAAAAGCCAGTAAAACGCAAATGCGTCAATATATTTTAAAATTTATTCAAAAAATAGTGATGTTGCAATTCAGCAGATATATATATATATATATATATATATATATATATATAATAAATATATTTGTCTTCATGCTGGGGTGCACTGGCTATAAAGCGCGTCCCCAGGTGGTAGATAGGGGAAAGTCCTGGGCAGGGAGAACTTTTAGGATTGCATCAAATAATACGGAATAAAATGCCGCGAACCAACTGTACCAGAAGAAAAAAGGCGGAGGATCCTAGGATAAATGGCTCCAACAGCTGATGATCTTCTATTCTAAATCCACTGTCTTGTGGAACAGAGACCTTTGACCCAAAGGCTAGGCGCACTGCTTACAACAGTGATCTCTTTGGCACGAGATAAACTTCAACCGCGCTGCCTTGTGTGCTTTTAGCAAAAAGGCTAGGCTCGCTGCTCGCTGGTGGTTGTCATTAGGAATTGGGCAATTCCAGATATAACAATTTTTTGACCCAAACATCAAAAAAAAAGAAAAGATCCCTATTCCCTGGAAGACTTTATATGGTCAAGAGGTGACAATATCCAGGAAGTACGCAACAGTGGAGGGATGTTGCGGAAAATCGGACGTCCCCACCTGAAATATCAGACTTGGCACTTCAAATACTGGATCGCTTACCGGACGCTCCATGGAGATCGTCGACATGCTGGAAAGACGAAGGGTTGACATCTGTTCTCTACAGGAAACAAGATGGAAATCAAATGATGTCTCTTTCATTGGGAGTTACAAGTTGTTCTGGAATGGCCAAAAGTTAGCCAAAATGGAGTGGGAATTTTCATACGGGAATCACTAGCACCAAATATACTGGAGGTGGTTCGAATCAGCTCACGCCTAATGCTGGTTAAACTCAGAATGGGAAAACAGGTTCTGACAGTTTTTTCTGCATATTCACCTCAGACCGGTATATCTGAAGACGCCAAAAGTGACTTCTGGAACTCAATCTCATATACCATCATCAGAGATACCATTGATATGTGGCGACCTCAACGGCCATGTTGAAAATAAAGCAAATGAGTTCCACGGTTTCCATGGAGGCTTTGGCTATGGGTCTCAAAACGAAGACGGTATACGGATTCTGGAATTTGCTGAAAGCCATGAACTCTCTCTGTTGAACACCTATTTCAAAAAGAGGGCAGAACATTTGATCACATAAAAAAACGGGATGTCATGCACAAAAATTGACTTCATTGTTGTCAGACAACAACACAGACGACTATTCAGGAATACAAAAGTCATTCCAGGCGAAGGATGCATCTCTCAACATCGATTGCTGGTGGCTGATATGATCATGGAACCATCACGCCCTGTGACGCCCCGCCCTGGAAACTAAAGAACCCCATGTTCAGGGAGAAATTCGAGGAGTTGGTATCGGCACAGTTGGATCGGATCGTCTGGAGAACACATAACCTGGAAATATTTTTAGGACACCCTGGTGAACGCTGCAACAGCTGTATGTGGAAAATCTAGACCAAAACGCCAGCACAACCGCGAAACTTGGTGGTAGAATGAGACTGTGTAAAATGCTGTTGCCAGTAAGAAAGCAGCTTTCAAACAATGGCAGAAGACGATGACTGATGAAGATCGAAAGACAAGTCAGCCATACCTCGATCAAAGAACTCATAAGCGAAATTTCAGGTTGTGATATCTTGTGCAAATAAATGCAAGGTATGGCTGACTGGAAGTAAAGGCGAACAAATTCGATCACTCTACCAAAAGATTGAAAAAAGATATATTTGGTGCCACATGCATAAAGAATAATAAAGGCACCATAATAACCTTGTGGAATGAAGTGATGGATCATTGGAAGAATTACTTCGATCAGTTATTGAATGAAACAAACCCTATTGGTGTGGACTTTGATGCACTTCTGGTGGAAGGACCGATTCAGGGCATCACAGTTGAGGAGCTTACGGATGCGCTGAAGGCAATGAAGATGGGTAAAGCGGCTGGTCCGTCTGGACTTACAAATGATATCATCAAGGCATGGTCAGGCTTCAGAGCTCTCTTACACATTGTTATGTGCAGGGCACATCCCTATTTATTCTATTTGTTTTTGGGCGATAATTAATGTACAATGTGACTTTTACTGTGACATGCTTTTTAGTTCGTTCAATTCGTTTCAATTCGTTTGGTTATAGAACGTTATATTTATTTTACGTAATAAATTAGTATACGTACATTACGCTTATTGTTTTCTATTTAGTTTGTGTTTCAACTCTTCAAAACAACGAAACAGAACAGTGGCGCAGTCGACAGGATTTTTCATGATTTACGGTGAATACTAATTAGCAGAATGGCGGAAATGAAGGAGATGATGAAGATGTTTGCTGAAATGATGTCGAAGCAACAGTTAGAAATGGCGAAGATATTGCAATCTTTTCAAGCCACGCCAGTACCGAAATTCGAATCATTCCAGCCCGAAAAGGAGTTGTTCAAAGACTACATCAAAAGGTTTGAGACTTTCTTGCTGGCCAATTCAGTCTCGAAGCAAAAGGCAGCTCAGGTATTTCTTACAAATCAGAGTTCAGACATATATAAAACCCTGGAGACGGTTTCAAAACAAATGTCTCCACCTCGTGATGTAAACTCATTGGATTTCAAGGAGATGGTCTAATATATAAATTCAGCTTTCAACCCTTCAACTTTTCTGATTAGGCAACGTTACAAATTTTGGACAAACTGCAAAAGAAAACCGGGCGAATCAGTTCAAGAATTAGCTAACCGAATTCGACAGTCTGCAGCTACATGTGATTTTATTAATATTGAAAACCCATTAGATGAAGCGTTGAGGACAAATTTTATTTGCAAGATTCAAAATGAAGCAATTTTGAAAGCTCTTTTCAGGATTCCAGAAACTCAGCTTTTCTTTTCCAAAGCTATAGAAATTGCGAATGAAATTGAAAGGGCAGCAACAGTAGCTAAGGACACGGTCTATGAGGGTACATCTCACAGTGATACGGTTCTGCTGGTACATTCCAGAGGTAACACGGGGGTTCATGCAAAAGGGATGATGAAAGATCCAAAAGGGACTTTTAAACCAGGTAGAAATTTTGGAAAGTCCCATCCAAATTCCAATTCGTCATGACACAGATGTGGAAAACATGGCCACTGGGCCTCAGATTGTTCCTCCAACGGGATGAAATGCTCATACTGCAATAAAATGGGTCACGTAAAGCAAGTGTGTTTCGCTGCAAAATTCAAAAGAAACGTCTTAACCATAAAAACTATTAAAGATGATGATAACTGCAGCTAGAGCTACATTTTAAGAATTTCAACAAAACTTTTGAAGTGGACAGTGGTTCCAGATAAAATTTTTGCGATGTCAGCGTCTGGGAAGATTTAGGTTCCCCTCCTTTGGTTCCAGTAAGTTCTCAGTATCGTTCAGCAACCGGCAATAAAATCCCAGTCAGAGGTGCTTGCTCAGTAGTTGCCACGATTTCAAATAGTTTAGACTGGAAACTATTCATAAAAATTAACGTAACAGACATTCAGGGTTTAAATTTAATCGGTCGAAGATCAATTAAAGATTTATAAATAGATATCAACAAGATGCTGGGAGACCAGATAAATACAATTTCATGCTCAAACTTTTCAAAGTTGACAAACGATTGTGAAAAGTTATGTTTGGAATTCAAAAAGATTTTTGATCCTAGTCTCGGTTGTCTAAAGAATGTTGAATTGGACATCAAATTCCGAGAAAATACAACACCAGTTTTCAGACAACCACGAACTGTTCCTTTTGCAATACAAGACAAAGTAGATGACGACTACACGATTAAATACAGGAAGACTTCAGAACACGGAAATGCAGATGTGTTGAGTCGCTTACCATCGGGTGAAAATCCAAAATTTTAACTTTATTTGAAAGATTCAGCACCTTACAGGCGCCCCATACCACCCGGCGACTAATGGTCAGGTTCGTTCAAACTTTCAAAAGGTCTATGGCAAAATCAACATTGCCGACCGATGCTGGTTTACGAGAGTTCCTCATGCAATACAGAAGAACTCCTTTTTCAACCGGTCTTTCGCCAACTCAATTACTGCATGGCAGGCAAATACGAACTAAAATTGATATTCTCCGACAAATTTTAAAAGGGAAAGAGAGTGAAATGTTCGATTTCGATAGGTCAACCGTGTTATGTCAAGTACTATGGCCCAAGAAGAGATCGCCAAGCCAGATGGGTTCCTGCAAAAGTTGTTCGAAGATTAGGTCGAAGACACATATTGGTGAAATCGATCCCACATGGTCTTCTATGGAAACGACACTTAGAGCAAATCCGTCCTAGATACGGTGCCAACCAAAATGGCGACCAAGGGGAAATCACTGGGTCCCAGTCCCAATTTGATTCAAGGCATTCAATCGTCAAACCCGCCACGCCTGAAAATAGTCAAGTGCTTTTCGACCCGATGTTTCTCCCAAGAAGATCGGAACGTATACGTCATAAGTTTTCCCACAAACTTTAGCTTGTTGGGGAGGTGTTATGTGTAGGGCACATCACTATTTATTCTATTTGTTTTTGGGCGATAATTAATGTACAATGTGACTTTTACTGTGACATGCTTTTTAGTTCTTTCAATTCGTTTCAATTCGTTTGGTTATAGAACGTTATATTTATTTTACGTAATAAATTAGTATACGTACATTACGCTTATTGTTTTCTATTTAGTTTGTGTTTCAACTCTTCAAAACAACGAAACAGAACAGTGGCGCAGTCGACAGGATTTTTCATGGTTTACGGTGAATACTAATTAGCAGAATGGCGGAAATGAAGGAGATGATGAAGATGTTTGCTGAAATGATGTCGAAGCAACAGTTAGAAATGGCGAAGATATTTCAACTCTTCAAAACAACGAAACACAACACACATCTTTTTTTGTTATTTCAATTTCATCAATTTTTTGTATATTTCTTATAAAAATTCTGATAATTTTAGCCTTTTTTTAAATTGTATTTTGTTGTATTCTTTGCTTTTTTACAAATTTGCTAATACATTTCTTTGCGTCTGGAAGATTTTGAGCTTCGTTTACGAATTGACAGTAACTTCGATGGGTATCCGCCAGGTTAGCATGGAAAAAGATTTTAACTGGTTCAAAAATATGGTTTTTGTAATCCCAAAACAAAAAATGATCTATATATAAACATAAAACTTCTGAAGTTCTCAAATTTTGCCAAAACCTGTCACCGTCCCACAGTTAGACTTTAGCGATCACAAGGGGGCGCTATTGCCCACTTTGAGAAACACTAGCATATATTATACAAAAATACAATGCTATACATAACACATCATAGTTTTATTTTTTTATTACAAGTAAATTTTTTTCTTCAACATAACATAACATGTCAATAATAATTTTGAGTAACAAACACTTATATCGTGCAACGACGAGTCTTTTTTGTGGCAAAAGCGTCTATTACATCACCAAACGAGAATGTTCTAGCAACATCGCTTTCAATCCTAATTATAGATAACGATGACGACCGTGTTTGACCCATTGTTGAACTTAGGTTACTTTTAATTCGTGACATAATTGAGAATGACCTCCCCCCTTCACAGTTGGTACACATGAGGCACAGTGTAAAGCAATTTTGACGTTGGTGAATGTTGTTTGGAGGCCAAGTTTTGTAATGATATTTAACAAATGAAGAGGTGACGAAATTGATCCAATTAGATGCAAAAAGTTATTTGGAAATGTTTCTTCAAAGTCGTCCTCAGAATACTAACATTCTTTTGCTTTTTTTAAAAAATAACTGTTGTGACTGGACAAGTTATGTCAGTCAAGAATCCGTATCTGTCTTAAGTGAAACATTCGCTGCCGCTCGATTTTTTAATTAAACAATATCTCTTTCAATGATGGCGTAGAACAATGTTTCTCAAAGTGGGTGATAGCGTCCCCTTGTGGGAGCTGAAATTTTACTGGGGGGCGGTGACAGGTTTTGACAAAAATTGAGAACTTCAGAAGTTTTATGTTTATGTATTGATCATTTTTGGTTGGGATTACAAAAATCACATCTTTTATCCAGTTAAAATCTTTTTCCATACTAACCTAGCGGATACCCATCAACGCTATAGTCAATTCGTAAACGAAGCTCAAAATCTTCCAGACTCAAAGAAATGTATTTGTAAATTTGTAAAAAGCAAAAATACAATAAAATACAATTTTAAAAATTGGCTAAAATAATCAGAATTTTTATAAGATGTATACAAAATATTGATGAAATTGAAATAACAAAAATTTTAATTTAAGCTGTTATCAGGTTATATGCTTATTTAAAATTGACATTTTTGTTGTTACATCACGTTAAAACAAATCAAAATATAATTCAAAGTGGGAATAGATTTATATAAGTGGAGATATATATATATATATATATTTTTACAATATTCTATAAATTCTACCGAATGTTTGGCGTTATTACGTCGGTTGGTCGCAGAACTTCGAGTAAATGTTGGTAATAGACCATAATTTTTACAATATTCTATAAATTCTACCGAATGTTTGGCGTTTGTATATGTTGGTATATATATATATATATATATATATATATATATATATATATATATATATATATGCACGTCACTATTTTTTGATTAAATTTAAAAATATATTGGCGCTATCGCATGTTTGCCTTCGTTTTAATTCCGCTTCTGTTGATTAATCTTTTATTTTCGTTACTGTTTCTTTGCGCGTAATTGCTGTGAAGTTATTATTTAACTCAAGTTTTTCTTAAAACATGACTATGTCGGAAGAAACTAAGAAGAAACAGCAGTACGCTTTAGGTTATATTAAAATACGGATTTATTGTAAATCCTACAAATCCTTCTTTGCCTTCATGTCTTCTTTGTCAAAAAACATTTTCAAATAAAGCGATGAAGTCTTTCAGGTTACAAGGTCATTTAAATAAAATGCATTCAGACAAAACGAAGAAAACGGAAGCATATTTTCAAGAACTAAAAAAGAAGTATCACATCAGGACTTTTTTCAGCAGCTTCCAAACAAAATGATGATGGTCTCAGAGCTTCATACAATATATTTTTGCTAATGCTAATAGCTAAAACAGGCAAGCCACACACTATCGTAAAAGTTATAATTTTGCAGAAAATTAAAGAACTACAGTTCTTCAAAAACTAGTGGCAGATATCATTCGAAAAACTTCTTTGAGTAACAGTTCTGTCCAAAGGCGAATTGATGAAATGGCTGAAAGCATTGAAAAGTCTTTATGTAGTCATTTGAAGACTAATAAATTTTCAATTCAGTTGGATGAGTCCACTTTACCAAATAATGAATCACTGTTATTGTTTTATGTAAGGTTTGTTAGAGATGGGTAGGACGCTACAAAGGTTTTATAGCATTTCATAGAAAAATAAAGTTTCAGAAGTGACTGCAGTTCATTGAACGATTGCTTCAATCACTGCAATATGTCATCAAAACAATCAATAATATCTGAAACAACTTTTTAAACTACAGACTTTTCAGCCAGTTTTGCGCTGTCAATGACAAAGATTACTAACTAATCCACGATTTACCATCCAATCGGGCCTTAAGAATATACATATCTAATTTTGTTTCTTATTTATTTTATTTAATTCATATGTATATGTAATACTTTCAAACCGTCAATTATTCTTGATTTTAATTAAGATTATTTTGACTTAGTAAACGAATATTTTAGATAATCGAACGAAAATATTTTGATTTTAGTTAAGGGTGGCCTATCCACAAGAATTTTTTTACTTATTTTGTTTGGCTTCCTCATAAATATATAAATATAAATAAATATTTCAACAGTTTGCTGTTTTACCCAGAAATTCGGTGGTTATCCAAAGGTAATTGCCTGAATCGGTTTTATAATTGGTTCTGTAACAGAGTTTTTTTTAAAAAAAAGATGAAGACTTGCACTAAAACTTTATTGCATGAAAGAGTGATATTGCGTACTCAACAAATTGTTTAATGATGTTAATCTCCAACTTCAAGGTGATGACTTGAACTTAATTAAAACAAAAAAATGTTATTGCTGCATTTGTAGCTAAACTACTTTTTCACAAGAACCATATTGGCATCCGTGAGTTCAACCAGTTTCTTAATTTATCAGCAGCACCTTTCATCAACGATGACTTGCTCGTCTGTTGCCATATTTAGAAATCTTACAACGATTTTAAAGAAAGATTTTAGGACATTTTAACGTTGGGAATACCGACCTGAGTGTTAGATCGTTTTTTAAACATTCACACAGCAGGATCGTTCCAGCTAGATCTAGAAAAAAAATTTATTGAATTGAACACAAACGAGGAAATTAAATTCAAATTCAAGAATTTGGGCTACAAAAGCAAATCCTTTTTTTGCATCCTGTATTGTTCAACTGTTTTTGCTTGCATTTCCATCCTCGTGTTTGTGCGAACGTGGATTTAGTGCTGTAACAACGCTGTTAACAGAAAAAGAAATAACTTTGATATTAATAAACGTGGAAATTCAAGACTGTTTTTTAGTAAATTTGAGCCTGATATTAACAGTCTTATAAAAAAATCATCAAATTCACCTATCACATTAAATTTATTTATGTTTAATTGTTTGTTCGTTTCAACTTGGATATAAAAAGCGGAGGGGACACTAGAAAATTTTTTTCTTAAAAATGGGCGGTAGAAGAAAAATCTTGAGTACCGCCTGCGTAGAAGATGTTGATTTCAAATTCACGACTACCTGAGAGATACTGCAACTGATTTACTGTTTTCTTCGTATATCTGCGCAATAGCAATCATTTTCAACCAGCGTTTTGGCACCTTGTTCATGATGTTGAAATCTGCCGCGCATGTCTTTGAAAAACGACGTTAATGACAAGCACAACTGGACAACGATATCTAGTGATATTTCAGGAGTCTGAAGTGTTTTCTAGTTTTGTGAAATTGGACGGTTATGTCCTTCCAAAATAAAGACTTAATGCCAGTTTCTAGTTTTTGTATCTTTTTGTAGTACAATTTGGCTTCATGTCGTGTTGACGGCATTTTGGACATATCGGGGACAATTTGACTAAGTGTATCCCGAATTTTTTTGTAGTTCGTTGCAAAACCGTGACAGGCATCATAGTGGATCATCTTGTATTAGCTACTCTTTTCAAAACGACTGCGCCTGTCGTCAAATTACTTGTCATCTTTGTCAATCGACTAGTAGAGGCTGAAAAAAGTGTATGTACTTTGTATTAATCCAAAAAAGGATACAACCTAGGGACAACATTCTGCAGCGCATGACTCTACATAGTTCAAGGAATGGGCGGCTCAAGGAACCAACTCAGCTAAGCTGTTGACTTGTTTAACAGAATAAACAGAGTGGTGCTATCAAATCTCATTTGGACTCAACACACTCAATCACAATTAGCCGTGAAATCCTCGACAGCAACACCAAAGTAATATACCAGAACAGCAACTACACGCATCTTAAAATTGCAGAAGCAGTCCTAATCGACATCAATAAACCAAAAATAAATATACAACAAAAAATGACAACCTCACTTCCAATCCGGCGCTTAACCAACAACGAAAACAAAGAAGTAATAAAAACTAACATCGTAAATATTGACAAAGAAGAATATGATGCTATCGATGAAGAAAAGGAGACCAAGGAAGATGACCAGCCAATTAAGAAACCTGACACCTAATTGGCATCAAAGTTCAATTTTACAACACCAAAGTTAATTTTTACAACGTCAAAGTTAATCTTGACAAAGTCAATATTTCCCTATATATACAACAAGGAGCACTGACGATGATTCATTCGGAATCGAAATATGGCCTTATTCGCAGCATGAATTCGAAAAATAAGTTTATTTTGAATTTTAATAAACTAAACGTTCACCAAAAAACTTTAGTGAGAAAAATCGAAAAAACGAACTACAAACATATTAACGCCAAACATTCGGTAAAACTTATAGAATATTGTAAAAATTATGGTCTATTACCAACATATATATATATATATATATATATATATATATATATATATATATATATATTTAGGAACGAGGTTTTCAGAAATGCAAATTTCATTGAAATTGTTTGCCCATTTTGCATTAATTAACTTCTTTATAAGACATTCAACGAGGCGGTATTGTTTGAGTTCATATTTATCTAAAACTGGAATAAAGCTAACAGCGCTGTTTCGGCGTAATGCCATCTTCAGAGCCTAAATATTGTTTAAACATATAATTTAATTAAAGTAAATGCCTAATGTAAAATGTGAAAATATAGAAAATAAAATATGTATTAAATTGTGAAATAAATTAACCTTGTTGTAAATATCATAATAACTAAAGTTTATGTAGATTATATAAATAAAATAATGTAATTTAAATAAAATGTTTAGTAAAATAATTAAAATATAGAAATTTTATAAAAGTTTTAACATGGGTGAGAAACGTTAGTGAAAACTAATTACGAATGACATGTGCGCCAGATATATAATATTGCTGTGTATGCGTTGTGAATACAACTATTGCGGTTGAATATGTGTGATACGAGTTTCCACATCAGACCTACGGATACATAGTTAAATATAAATACATATATGTACATGC